AGGCAGCCATTACTATCAATGTGGTTGAAAACATTGATACAGAAGGAGCATGAAGAGCTTAGAAAATGAATCACATCAAGATGACTTTCTGTGCTCACAATAACACTAAAAATGAACAACAGGAGAAAAAACCCACCCAAACGCCCCCCCAGTGGAACAATATGATTTCTCAATGGTTAGAACCATCACAGAAGATATGAAGATGCTGGACATTTTATTTAAGGCAAGCTTACACCAGTCTTAAATACTTTTTCATGTCCATTTGTAAATTAATGTCCTTTCCAATTAATACACTTGATGCTGAAATGCCAGACTCTGCTATCTGTGGAAAGTGTAAGCATAAGGAGCTCCTATACAGGGAAACTGAAGCCAGAGGACAAGGTGATGGAATATTTAATCCTTCCCCAAAAAATTCTAATCCTATCCTTATCACAAAGCAGAAAACGAAAAAAGACAAGAAAGAAATAAGGAACTATTTAAAAGTAAGAAAGGACTAGATCATAAATTCATTTATAGATAACTTTTGTGGAATTGTTCACCCATCACTGCAAGACTACCAGAGTAACAAAGACAGAGAAAAACAAGTTAGAGAGATACAGAAGTCATACAGAGAAATCCCAATTATTCAGCCTTAATATTGTGTTCTGAAGCTGTTCTATAAATAGAAAACAATGAAAACAAAAAGCAAAACACCAGATCTCTTAAACTTTATAAGCCAGAGAAACAAGACCTGTACAACTGTTATGTATCATAATCATCCCCTAAACCCAAGCGAATTTTCAAGGCTATAGACTTTAAAACTGTGATGTGGTCCTCAAAATAGGACTTGAGTTTTAAATAACAAGTATTGGAGTCTATTCGCATTTTTTGGTCGCATACTGTTAAGTAACACACACTCATGCAAACACACATATAAAACTTTAAACCTTAAAATGGCAGTTTTACAACCAAATTTTCTTCATCAGTCTTCTTGCAGAGACTTGATCACTGCCACTAACAGCTACATTAATCATTCTTAATTTTACTTCCCAAAGGCAGCTGGCCTCATGGTGCAATCTACTAAAACAGCTCTTGACCTATTTGTTCCCACCATCATCCCTGACGCTCGCTGCTGTAACAGCTCACCTTGGACAACATATTCTGTTTTCTGCAATATCTAATCACCAAACTTTACAGTTGTTACAAGACTAATACAGAGCAGTATGCTTAATCACAAGAGAGACACCTCATTCTCTCACACGTAAGAAAAACAAAAATGGGTTATATTTTAGATTACTTCTGCTGGACCTGACATGAATGACATTTAAAAACCAAAAGCAGTTTCAGTACTGTGCAAGCAAGACTTTTAACAAAACAGTATTCACGTTTTAGATAGGGTATGGATTTTCAAAACTCATTCTTTCCTCACTGCATAAGATGGTGAAGAACTTGAAGGTACATTTTAAGGGAAACTTTAAAAACAGGATTACCTATTGGAAAAAGAAATGAGTATGGAAAGATAGTAAAATCTATTATAGTACATATATCTAAAGAACTGCAATTTTGAATCTCTAAATGCACCAACACAGAAGAGGCAATAAAGAAAACTCATATAATTATATAACTGTTTAGTTAAAACAAACCATGCTATACATGGAAAAGTAATTCTGCTCCCACTAGTCATATTTAGCCTAATGTCCAATACCAAATATAATAATACTAAGTGTAAGTACTGTACAGGTCTGTTCTAGGAGAACCCCATTACCTGACATTAAAAATCAGGCTATTTTAATGCAAGATTAAATATGACCAGTTTGCAACATAACGGTTCTACAAAAGAAGTACCAATACAGAACATAAACAGCACGCGAATGTTTTAACAATGAATAGATGGCATTTACGTTTCCATGCTGTTTAACACAACAGTACATTCCTATACATAGCGCCTTTCACTGAAAGCTTTAAAGGCCTTCTTTAATTTTTCTGAAGTGCAAAATGGATATTAAAAACACCAACATGACCGATTTAGATCTAAATATGAAAATTTACCATTCTACCCAAAATGTGGAAAAGAGCAAGTGCATTCTGTTTAAATGCTGTCCCTACCCCTTCGTCAGAAATATGCACTAGAATCCTTAGAAGTCATGCAGCTGCTAAGGGAAAAAGCACTACTTCCATGTACAACACACTCAGTTACCACACAGGTTAAGAAAAACTTTATAGTAAACAAATAAAATGCAATGTATTCCAAGAAGAAACAAACAAACAAAAATATCAAAAAATGTTACCATGTTAAAAAAACCCCACCAGGATCATCAACACTATTTTCAGTTCTAGGAAATACTCTACCAATTTCAGATTGAGCCCTTGTGTGCAAGTACACGAAAACAGCCAAATCACATCACAGGGAAAATATTTTCTTCTCTCTAAATATGGACTCAATTCTGAAGACAAGGATTTAAACCAAAGTTTTCCTTACTGGGCTATTTTACTCTTTATATAGACAACTAATGCACAGTTTAACAGCGGATTTGATGCTACCAAAAAGTGATGTATTTCATCAACATTTCAGGTTTTGTAAACTAAGATGTATTTTTAAAAGCAATAGTTGATGCAATCTTACTTAAAGCTTCTCATTAAGAAGACAATTTCCATGCTTATCAGGTTGAAAGTATCTTTAACTTTCTTTAAGTTTAGTTTGTTCCAGTAATCTATTTTGATGAACAGACAACATGGGTTTGTTTTCTGAGACTTACAGAAATAATAGCAAAATAGTAAAAGTGATGAAAAAATAGGTACGATATATAAAGTTAAACAGGACTTAAGTTTGTCTTGATGAAGTAACAATCCAGCATAAGACAATTCTCCCGTGGAGATACATTCCCTATGTATCATTTCTGATTTTGTAATTCTCCAAAAAGAAATTTCCTCCAATGATTACAGTATTCTCCATGCACTTCAAGACTTGAGGAACACGTATTAAAAATCCTGACTGATCTTTTCACTGGCTGTCAGCAAAAGGTATACCTTCTTTTAAAGTCAGGTCCTAAATATGTAAAAGCCCTTCTTATGTAAGATGAGGTTGAAGGGATGGCGTGGTAAGAAAAAAATTAAATAATGTATTATACAAGCCACTTTGTGTCAGCCACCAGGCCTCAGCTCGGTGTAATTCTTTTCTTTCCTTCTTTCTTTTCTTTTTTTCTTAAAAAAAACCCCAAACAAACAAAACCAACTTTGCGGTGGTTCCTCCCATGGTGTCAACTGATATAGTTCAAACAGAAACAATGAAGCTATAGAGATGTGCACCAAGGAATTTGCCCAGCACTCTGGTGGTTCAGCCATTCTCTGCAAAATCATAGTCTTCCAGCACTTACTGACATTAGTTGGTGATGAAGCACCATGAGAAAAAACCGTACGCACACACACATATATATATATAAAAAAAGGTTTTGATCAGGTACATGCAACACAAATTTGGTACCGATATGACGTCAAACATTTCAGTGTTGTAAGATGTAATGAATGTATTTCATTCCACTTTTATCTTCAAAAAGAATAAAAATCATACAGAGAAGCTGAAGTGTCCTTACTTTGAAAAACTATCAATAAGCTAAAAACATGACCTTACGGATTATAGGTCACTTCCCTGCACACATTCTTCTAAACTTTAAAGTGCCAAGACTTATAAAGATCTTGTATGGCTAGTAAAGCCATGTGAAAAAAGGGGTACACTCATTATGTGTAACATCATTATAAATTTTTTCACCTTAAATATTTCAAAAGCTTTTCAATTTTAAGCTGAAATCTCCACCCTAAGCTGCTCATCATGGTCTTCCAAATAACAACGTGCCTGTGAAACAGGTAACGCATGCAGCAAGCTGCTAAAATTCAGGAAGAAAGTGTCCATCTTACTAGGTGAGCATATAACTAAAAATATATCGTAATCCAAGCAGAAATTACTTGTACAGCCTTGATTTTGTTAAATGCTTCAAATTTGCAAACAGTGATCTGGCAATGTTCTTTTAACACATGCATTTTTGAGGTACTAATCTCTGCTGCGAAAGGGGAGGCAATGACGGTGGGGGGAGACAATGGTGTAGGGTTTAAAACAGCCTTTCACAAATCACAACACATGAATGAAAACAATTGAAGTGCATTTCCTGGCAGTAACAGAAAGCTCTTATCCTAGAGAGGATGTAGACAGTATAGCACGTGATGGGATTTCTTTGGCGGCTCATCACCTCAAACGATGAGGGAAGCATCACTCACAAATCACGTACCAAAAGGCAGACATGGGCCTAAGCTTTCTGACATTTTTACTACTGAATCTACTGCTACTGCTGCATGAGCTTGATTTAAACAAGCATTAGCAGCAGTATTCTGGCAGGCTTTCCAATTTTTCCTGACAAAAGAAAATGTCCATTCCTAACGGTTTATATTCCAGCAAAAGATTAAAACATTTTATGTTAAGTAAAAAAGCACTTCCATCAAATAGAAATATTACAGATTTCATAACAATGAAGATTTGAGAGTTTCTACCAAAGAAAATTTGCAAACCTCTCCTGTCAGAAAGGAGCCAGGAAATTAAAGTCATTGGACATGGTAGCTGCAGATTTCTAAGTATGAGACCTAGTCATGAGCTACATTAGCACTCAGAGAAACAAATTTCTCTACTATTACTAGCAACAGACAGGGTGAAACAAAGCTTTCCTGTTTTACCCTTAAAATACTTTTAGTTTTACTCATAAAAATGCAAAATTATTAAAAAATATTACATGGATACTACAAAAATTGATTGCTAAACAGATTATACTCACAATATACTCACAGCTCTAATGAATAATTTGTGCCAATTAGATTTCAGATTTCTCAAATTGCAGCAAAACCAAAGCCTCATTATGGCAGAAAAAAAGGTTCTCAAAAGAAAAAAGGCGACATAATTTAGAAAATGTAAGAAAGAAGTAGACTTCTTTGTTTGATATGCTAATAATTTATATTGCACTTCATAACATAAAACTTACTTAAACATGATCTTTTCCCAGCTGTGCTTGCACCTCCTGAACATAAATTGCCCCCTCGATGGACCAGCTCAAGTTCCAAGTTCGTTCTGCAAGAAAAGCATAATGGTGTTGAATGGTACATCATTATTCAAGCTTCTACAGACATGAAAGAGTCACCACAAACTCCCAGCATACACTAAATAGAAAAATACTGTAAACTAATCTTTACTGTGAGATACTGCCAAAATATGATGCAGAGTAAAACAAAATTTATCAAGATGTTGCCGAATGTGATTTTAAGTGGTTTGATTAGCAGGTACTACATTAAGAAAGCTGCTACAGTTGTGACTGAAGAATAAAAAAAATATGTTAATTCTGAGGCTTTTTTTCTGTATGCACACATAACTTCTCGATAATAAGGGAATTTATGTGCAAATCTGAAGAAACAATATACAGATTAGCTAAAATTTCAATCAATCAGATATGTCTAAAAAGTGTTCTCTATTGGCAGAGCTTTTCATTTGCTTTAAACAAACAGACAGTACAATGGCTATGCCATCAAGTAACTAAGTATGAAAACAGTCTATAATGGAAGCATTGACCTTTATAGATAAGTCCGTTAATAAAAGCCTTGGAGGTTAATTCTGAATGAAACACTGGTATTCACGGCAGCTCATTAGTATGAAACAGGAGTTGTGTCACTAAATCTCTGTGTGTCACACTGATGCTTGCTTTCTTAGTATTATTGTAATCTGATGCTTAGGCACCAATTGTTCAGGTCAAATTCAATATCTATGTTTCATTTTGGAATTTAATGTTTCAGTACGGCATTAACCCCACGACTTGGAGCAAACAATTTACGTTATGTTCTCTGAGAGTTTGTTTTAGCAAGTCAACATACATTTCTTTAATTAAAATAAAGGAATATAATTCTATTATTCTGAAATGTAATTGCTGATTTAATCCCAACTGCAAAGCTCAGTCTAAACATATTTTGTTCTTAACTAAAAACCAAACAATTTCAGGTTCAAGATAATGTGACTCAATACATATTAAAATCTATTCTAGAATTTTAGGCACATACTGTATCTAAGCTAAGAACACACACACACACATATATAAGAAACTAAAGGATGACTATTTTATTAAAAACAAATTATTTTTTAAGAATTTCAGCTCCATCAGCTTGAAAGAATAATGCATGTTTGATATGCAGTGTTTGTTAAGATACTTTCATACATTTTTAAAATAGTAACATTTCAGAATATTACTATCCCTAAGTTTGCAGCTTATGCCACCCATTTCTGAAGGAATGCTTTAATCCTCTCTACTCAGAAAAGGCAATTTAACATTGATAATGTGCCTGCTCAGAGCTCCATCTGGTTGCTGCTGATAAGGGCATCTGTGCGACAGGGGAATTTTCCACTCTTCAGGCGATTTGCAGTGCTCACTGAACTTCTAAAAATCTACCAGCACGGAAGCAGGGATAGCGATTTCGTCTTAGTGGACAAAATAGCAACTGTAGATCAGCATGTGCTAGTTCATCATGGAAATACAAAGGAAACCAGTATGTTTTATTTCTACAAACCTTCTGATAGGTAATTTGCACAACAAAATTAATGGTAGCCTTCCATTAAAACGAAGATAATTAAGATTTAAGTCAAAACCACTACCTGAATGTCTAAGAACAACTTTCTAGATCTAGAATTTTCAATTTCCTTTTCATCAAGAACTATGTACATTTTCACAAAACAAACCCTAGGAATAATTCTGAAAAAAAACCTCTTCTTGATAACTATGAGGGTTATATAGTACTTTTTGCTGTAACGAATGTAAGGAGAGAGATTTCTGGAAATACATACTCCATCACACATACCATACCAACTCTCACCTCCCACACTTCTTCATTGCCCCCAGCTCCTCAAAGACAGCAGCTGATAGTTCAGCTTTCTTGGAAACGCAGATGTTAGCCTTTTCCTCTAAGACAACTCTTTCAAAACATACCTAAACTTCAGCATGAAAGTGCACAGTAGAGAAAGCATCTTCTGTGAAACTGAACACTTCTCCTTTATAAAATGTTCTACACCAGGTACAGCCCTAAATTGTTTTTGAAAGAGACTAGTCTATCTCCTCCCTAATTCAAGCTCCCTTCTGCCTTGGTGATCCAAGTACCATCTGCCCTCTACTCAAGAAAAGCAGAGCTCTCGGTGCCTATTCTTTCATCAATAAAGAAAAACCTGTGTCATCTGACAGAAGGAGAGGAACACAGAATAGGCTCTGAAAGTATCCTTTGCTATCGCAGCCCCCTCAACACGAAGGAAAGCGAAGAACGAAGAAAATCTATGAATGATTGCTTCCTCTCTCTAGAAATCTTTGCATCGTTCATTAGATTTTGTAGAATACTGTCTTTGTCTTCCTCACTCACAGAAAAAAAATGAGAAAATGGATTTTGCTCAGCTGTACAGATTCCTGATTATAAACCAGCCCTATTTCATCCCTTCTTGTGGGCTTTCATCAAAGGAACATATTGAAGGTGGGGTGGCAAGGGTGACTGCATATTTCTCAGAATTCATATCAGGACAGAGTAGGGGGAAGTAAAAATGCAATGCCCTTTCTAGAAAGAGAACATATTTGGATGGATCTCTTCTTTCTATCGGGACAGAAGAATCAAGTTAAGCACTACCACTTTTTCGACTGCACTTTACAAAGGCAACATACATATGTAAAAACCCAGGTACTGAGACACAGACTGGAAGGAAAGAACACAAGGTTCTTGTATTAGCCTATACATATCTGACAGCAAAAACAAAAGCTTTGTTTACACAGCCAACAAAAGCAGAGACCTATTGCTATGCAATACAGAAACAGTCCTCCAAGACACTGCCACAAATGACAGTCATCAATGCTATGAATGTGGAGCTATTAAAATTAAAGCTAGGCACACGACTTGTGAATGACACACTATACTAATCTCAAATGTCAGCAAAGACAAGGAGGGATGCACATGAAAAGGACATAAATTTAACAAGGTAAGACCGCAGGGGAAGGGGAAGGTAGCTAAGAAGCTGCTCTTTCAGCTATGCATGGAAGTCAGAATGCCAAGACCCCCAGTGCCTCTTCTGCTAGGAAAACAGACTCTCCCACTAGGTGGTAGAGAATTTGCTTGTCATTTCTTTTCTCTACTACCAGTGACATCTGTCTGGGTAAGCAAAAGTAAAGTAAGAGAAGTTCCCATTTTCCTGAAGCAGAAAGGATAAGCTGCAGTAAGTGGTTACATCTTGTTTAACCAGTAGTATTCCCATTCCAGCATGCAGAAATCCACTTCAAAGCTGGCCTCCAGCTGTAAACCAGCATCTTTCAAGAAGACTGCAGATGATATCATTTTCTGATTGAAAATGGAATATCACTTATAAGAAGATTAAGTGTTTAATTCACTTGCAAATACATGGAGTCAATAAAAATATTATTGCATTCAAATGCTTACTTAAACAGGGGCTACTTATCATCTTGATCACTTTATCTGTATGTTAGATTAAATACCAGGAAGGAATCCGTAACAGTTGTAGATGGTCTGACCAAAACCAATGAAATGTTTCAGAACATATGAAACTAGAAATGCCCAAAGGTAACTGGTTGGTAAGGAACACAAGGATATCATTACCTCCAAAAGAACTGGATGGAAATAAGGAACAGACAGGCTGAATGACAGGAATAACTTGCAGAAAGCAAGTTACTTTAGTCTGCAATTTAAATTGCGGAGAGTCCCTTGTTCAGATACTTAAAATTAAAGAAAACATACTAAAATCATACACAGAATATTCTCAGTCTGGGATACTCAGCAACCAGAGTTTATGAAACTGCAGTGAAAAATGCTACTGGATGATATCACTTCTATGCTTGCACCTTCTCTGCAGCCAGCACCTTCCCTGCAGGCCCTAGTAAGTCAGAGTTCAGAAAATTATTTGCTTAATGAGTATTTCAACTTCTTAAGGGAACACCCTGCATTACAGTAAATCTGAACAGATTAACCATTCAGAGCACCTTAACATTAGTGGAAGGAGGGACTGTTTGATGAATCAATCATCACAGAGAAAATGCTGGTGGTTTGACACTTTTTTAGAAGTCTTATTCACATGAAGAGAGATTCCTGGTTGCTGATGTAGAAAAGACTCCTTCTGTGATTCTCATTTAAGTAAATAAAACTAATGTCTGATGGACAGATTAAAAACACCCTGTGATTTAAAAACCAGCAATATGGCAGTGATATAAAAATAATCTCATTCTGCTAAGTAGTAGGAGAGGAGATTTGACAGTTTGGGAAAGGAAGGTAGAAAAAGAAATTAAACATAAAAATTTGATATAAGGAAATAAAAATCTTGGATAAAGAAGAAAACTAAATAAGCATAAGACAAAATGTTCTCCAGGTTTTGTGCCACTGCTGCATATACAAAAAATGAACTGAGAGGCACATCTTTCCATCTCGCAATGCCTGCATATGAAAATCAGAAAATGTAACCTTTCCATGTTAAGTACTCAAAAAATACTTTTTGGAGAGGATGGAATATTTTTTTAATTATTTGTTTTTAAAAGAAGAAAACTGAGTGAGTAATACCATTAGTAAGAAACAAAAGAAAAAAAATGTAAGAAGAAAAACATACTCACCTGGCTACCGAATACATAAACAGAAAATCATTGTCAGGTGATCCAGGACTCTTACTATAATCTGTATACTTCTTTTGTGTGGTACTTTTTATGTCTTTCATTACAGATTCCATTTCTTTACTGAGATTGGTTTCAGACTATGAACAAAGGCACAAAAGAAGATTAGTTAATTTTACCTGAAGGAATGCAATAGCTGATCACAAAGCATTTATAAAAACACATATTTATAAAAACACATTGGCAGGTTATGAAAAATTATTCATTAAAAGCCAATATTCTATCTCACAGAAGTGTTATAATATTCTGAAAGTTATTCTGATTTATTCTGAATATGAAAACATCACTGTTTTGTCCATCTCCTAAGTTCAAGAGTCTCACTGCTTGCATTGCTTTAAAGTATATTTGCACTGCATAAGTACATGAAAATAACACAAAGTATATCCATCAAGACTGGAAGGCTAGCAAAATTTAACAAATTAATTCTATCATTCTGAGCTGAGAAAGACCTCATGAAGCTTTGTGCAAACTGCTTTCTGTAAAACAAATAATCCATACCTTAAAATGGTCTTACAGACATTCTTTAAATAGCTTCCAGTTACAGGGTACTGGTGTTTTTACATTGTAAAGAAATGATAAATTAATTTTATATTACATGACCCAATTCTACGTGAATTACTATGGAGAGAAGTGAAAATGGGCTCCATAAAAAAAATTATATTAATCTCGTTTTGTCATAGCTTTTTAATTGTTTGGTTTTAGTAGGTAATGCAGTAAGTGCTGTAAATATTTTAAAAAATCTTGATATATATATAAAAAAAAAAAAAAGTATACTGTCTTCCGTATCAGAAGAAAATGAAGTTTCCCAGGTTGTCAAGTTTCTAAGAGGTCATAAATGCAACATAATGTAAAAACTGAAAAGTAGAAGCAAATTAACAAGGATCTTTCTGCCTTACACTGATGCTTACTGGGAAAGTTCCCAGCTGTTCTTGAAGATCTTCCACCTCTTGTACAAGATCTTGCATACACTTGTTACTATGACTTTGCCAAAGGCTTCTTTCCACGTTGTTTCCAGGATAACAAGGAAGAACACTGTTAGCAAACTGCCTACAGAGGGGACAGGTAAATTCTCCTTTGTCCACTGAAAAACCCTGGAGGACCTGGTCATTCTAAAAGAAAATAAAAAAGATGTAGCTGAAATTTGCAAAATATTATAAATCTTTAGTTTGATACTTCAGGTGTCTAGCTGAAGAACTAAGTCTAAAACCAAAAACTGTAAAGAAAGTCATTGGAATAACGCCTCATTTTAGTGAAAAAGGTCTTAACTACTAGAGATTGTCTTGCAAGCCTTCAACTCAACTAGTTTTCCTAATTGTTAATTTACCTTCTTTGTCAACAATATCCCCATAATAAATCAGAAATACTTGAATGGGGTATTTTGAACATTTCAGATGTGTTGTCTCTTTCCATCAATTCCCATAAATTTTCAAATTTATCAAAAGGCAATTTTATTTTCAGTCATGAGAAATATTTGAAGATTTTTTTGCAGAAGTACAGGCTGAAAAAAACCTAATCAAGTAGCCACTGGAGGGCAGTGTGACAAAAACTCTGATTATTTCCTCTTTATCATGGAAGGATAAAAAAATGGACACAGAAGTACATGTTCGGGAAGTGAAGACATCTCTCGAGCACTCCTGTTACAGGCAAGCAACCTTCATGAATTGCCTCAACGTTTTCCCACTCCTGGGAGAAGAGAGCTGCTAAGTTAATATTGACTGTAATTTAAACTACAAGCAATCAGCCCAGAATGCTGAGGCTTTTACGCACCTTTCTGGATCTCTGATTGAATTATGTAAAAATAAATGTTTTATCCAGATGAACACAAGTCTACATAAATTATTTCAGTACTAAGAATACTAGGAAATAGTGAAAATTATGATGCACTCATCTAGGTAGTAATAATACATGCTAGGATCAATAGTTCACTTAATCCAGAAATCTTCAAGAACACAATGAGATGGAATAACAGTTTATCTCAAGTTTAAGTGAGAAACCACCAGAAAAGGGGCTTCAGTGTCTATATGATGCAAAAGATTACTTTCCCAAAATTCTAAATGTAAATGTAACCTAACGTAAATTTAAAAAAAAAAAAAAAAAAAAAAAGTAAAATTAAATTCTACTATGAAAGCCCACATTTTACTTAATTATCTTGATGATACAATTACCCCTGAAAGCATCTTTACGGTCATATATAAAAGAATAATTTATCACAGGATCCAATAAGGGTGGCACAGCTTCCAGTTTCTCTAGAGGTAAGTTTCATAGTATGACCAATGCTGATACTAAAAATACAAAGCATTACTCATAGTTTTCCTCAAAATGGAAACAAATTAACAAAACTTACAAAAAAACTAAAACTAAAGAAATACCACATAAAGTAATCTTGAAGAAAAAAGCAGTTTCATATGCAACAAGATGTCATCATTTAGTCTTTATTTTATTACACTAAATAATACAGAGAGAAATGATAGCTTAAAATCTGATGACTTCTGCACTGCTGAGCTTGTGATAACATTCTATGGTGCCATTAAGAAGATCTGCAATCAGGCTGCAAGAGGTTGAGGGGGGTGAACCAGGCCAGCAACATCCATGGAACACTACCCTGTTTACTCAGACCATGTGAAAACAAATGGATGTCTTTCTAGCCAATAATTTCTGAGGCTTGACTAAAAACCTGTATATTAAACCCATATGTAATAGTAATTTCCCAACAAGGAAAAACATACATGCATAATTCACAAGAGTTAAAACTATTTTAACTCACTTCTCTAAATGTCATGTATATACATAACACATACATAACACATAGAGACAAAAGTCTAACTTTTTGTAACTGAATTTCCATATTAAGAATTAACCAAAAGCACAAGTTTATATTAGTAAACTCCTCTCCCATTTTTTCTTCAGTTTCTCTGTAATTTCTAACTCAAGTTAAACATCAAAATAGGAATCTAGGAAACAGAAGTGAAAATAGAATGCTGTACCTGAATATGCATGCCAGAACAAAAATTGCCAAAACTCAGTGATTTAATCTTTTAACGGGGTTAATTTAGTCAAGTATTTTTTTCTGATATATCAGAATAACTGAAAACAAAGTACTTTTGTCAATAACGGCAAGATGTAATAGGAGGTTTAGTATCTATAGTTCTTGAAACATACTAAAAACATCTTGTCCATTCACATAAAACAAATCTTTCTTTCTCTGAATTGAACAGCATAAATAAAACTGATTTCACTAAGAACAGTTCAGATCCAAATTAAAAAAAAGAAATCTTTAGTTTTACTTACCCGTAAAGATTCCATGTAAGATTTGTGACAATCTATGTGTAAAGTGTGACCACAAGTTTGTACATAAACACCTCCTTCCCAGCCTATTGACACAGCTTGCAGGCAGGAACTCTAAAACAAAGCAAAAACAGTAAGAAAAAAGAACAACAATATATATAAAGGTATTTACCACATCTTATTTTAATATTTAAAAATATGTAGCTTTTTATTTGCATGCTATTAATTAAAAGACATACGCTATGGAAATAAAGAAAAATTTTATTTTACAAAGTATTTACTTATGCTAATATACATGGCTGTCATTATTTAGGGAACTAATCATGCCCCTGTACTCGGCACTGGTGAGGCTGCACCTCGAATGCTGTGTGCAGTTTTGGGCCCCTCACTACAAGAAGGACACTGAGGTGCTGGAGCGTGTCCAGAGAAGGGCAAGGAAGCTGGTGAAGGGTCTGGAGAAACAGGTCTGATGAGGAGTGGCTGAGGGAACTGGGGTTGTTTAGTCTGGAGAAGAGGAGGCTGAAGGGAGACCTTATTGCTCTCTACAGCTACCTGGAAGGAGGTTGTTGTGAGGTGGGTGTTGGTCTCTTCTCCCAAGTAACAAGTGATAGGGTGAGAGGAAACGGCCTCAAGTTGTGCCAGGGGAGGTTTAGATTGGATCTTAGGAAAAATTTCTGCACTGAAAAGAGTGGTCAAACATTGGAACAGGCTGCCCTTGGGAAGCGGTGGTGTCATCATCCCAGGAGGTGTTCAAAAAACATGTTGATGCGGCACTTTGGGACATGGTTTAGTGGGCATGGTGTTGTTGGGTTGACAGGTGGACTTGATGATCTCAGAGGTCTATTGCAACCTAATGATTCTATGATTCATTACACTATTCTTTCCAACAAAGAGTCAAACACGTAAGTTAAACTTCTGCAGTTCTTGTCTCATAAGATAATGACTTCTTTAAAGAACCTCTTGTACTATAGCATGAAGACAGCTCTAACTCTACCATCTGTTCCAACAGTACAAGTTATCCCACGTACAAGCACAATACACTGCTCCAATACACTTCATTCAGTTTTGTATGTGACCAAAATAACAAGATCACAGTTACATAATTAAACCCCAATCTGTTATTAAAATTCAATATAAACACTTAAGGTTTTTCATGAGTTGTTGAACAACACAATATATTATACATCATAAAGCAGAAAGAGAACAAATACTTGTTCAGTGAATTGAGTTTTATACTAGGATTGTTTTGAAAACATTAGCTTTATTCAAAGACTGTACTTACAGCCCACATGTCAAAGACAGCTACCTCACTGGTAGTTCTCAGAAAATAACGAACTGAAAAAACAGTCACCACTGGCAAATTTACGATAAGGTGTTGTAGAAAATTCTCTTGCAGAATACCTAGCTATAGTCAGTCTAATGATTAAATCCCCATTTCTCAAAAAAAAATTTCATGCACACATTGAAATGTATATTCTGGTTACAGATTCAAAGAATAGAAAAAAATTTAGGGCTACCAGAATTGGAAAAGAATTTTTAGTGTAGACTCACTATAAAATGATCTTAAAGTATGATCCAAAACCAGGGTACTATTAATAACCAACTCTGATTGCTGCATTTTCTAAGGATGTCCTAGCATCTCCTCTTTTTTTTTCTGCATATGAACAGGAAATCAAAACAAAACTACAAATTCTAGCTACAAGACATGTTCCTATTTACCTTGCCTCAATCTGACATTCATAACGTGCTATGACTCTCTCAGGCCATAGAACAAGAAAAACATTTTTTTTTTCTCCTGCTGGTTCCTGCATGATTTAGTAGACTGCACTATTAGTAAGGTCATACGATACACCCAGATAAGCCCCATAGGACAAATGTTTTATTCAGGAAAAGCATTATATATTCCATGTATTTAACGAGGCTACTCAGTAGCAGCTGCGAAAGAAAAAAAACAAAGAAACAAACAAAAAAAACCCAACCCAACCCGAAAGGTCTTTGCAGAAAGGCTTTACTGTATTACTCTTGAGTTCAGAAATAAAGGAGATTCTGAAGCAAGCCATAGGCTTAGGGTGGAGCACACCTATATCAAGTTATTGGTTACAAAGTCCTATGTGATTCTGAAAATAGTCCTATCAATCTCGTATATGAAATTTTACCTCCTAAACCTTAGTCATACCTCTCCATATCAAAAATAATCATTCAGTGATTTTTCCGTTAATGGGCAAGAACTCTACTCCTTGACTGACAGCAAGCATCAAATTTCAGCTAAGAAAGAGCAAAAGAAATCTCTATGGAAAGAATTGACTTGTTTTGCCCAATCTATATAGAGAATGTAGCTTTTGAATATTGTTATTTTTTTTCTTCTAACAGAATAAGCTAGATCATGTTTCATAACTGAAGTTTTTACATCTAGGTGAAATTATTCACTTGCTTCCTGAAATCTGTTGTTAGAGGATGGACACTTACTGGCAAGGACACGGTTGACAAACAAAAGGACTTATCGCTTAGCTCAGCTGAACAAGACACTCAAGACATTAACAGATGTTTCCATTTTTATGCCAAAAGAAATTTAAGGATTAGTTCTTTCATGCAGAGACTTTTTTTTTTTTAGCACAGTAGTGATCTGGAAACTTGAAAGCAAAAATAGCTAATTCAACTAATACTTGAATCAGGACTGGAAAGTTTGAAAGCAGGATGCATTTGCTCATTGCATTACAGTGTTTTTTAGACTAATTTGTTGGCAACGTTACTGCCTAGAAAAAGAAAGAAATACTTCAGTAAGATCAAGTTTTTCAGTAACATTTTGCTTGGAACTCCTTCCATTTGTAGTATGCAACCATGTAAAAATAAAGCTACAGTATGACTTCAATTTTTTTTATCACTTAAGCAGGAAAAAATATTAACTGTTTGAAACAATAAACAAACATCATCAATGTCAAAAGAAAAGCTTGTCCACAGGTTCCTTCTGAATTAAAAAAAATAATCTTTTCTTCAGAAATTATTTCCTGCTTACATCCTTAAAACTTTACTTTCTAGCAAGGAAATGTATAATATTTGTCCCAGGAGAAGGTGCTTTTCTGAAAACATCTGCCCAGTTTTTAAAGCTATATCAAAACAATTATGAAATTTACTCTAAATTAATCTACATAAGCAACCTTGGCTGCATTTGGCAAATTTCAGTTATCTGTGGATGACATATTACAAGAAAGCTAGCAATTGTGTCAGAGTAACAATTGCCAGTTTCTCTTCTTTAAAGACAGTATTTAAGCTTCTAAAGGCTGATTATTTATTTAGATCTGCCTAAGAGCCATTATGTCACCTGGGACTAGTCTATAGGAGCTAATTTAGGGTCACAGATTACCTATTCTTCTTCCCCAGAATGCTTTCTCAGGATATTTAATATAATATCTTACATGGCTGTTTTATACACTAGCAAGGAAAGTAAGATTCAGCACTTCCACAAAGGCCTACAACTGAACACGTCCTGTTAAGCAACAAGAATTGGCTTTTAAAATTAAACATGAAAAGCTGTAATGTGGCTTTGTGAAGCAATGCCAAACTCCACTTGGAACAGCTAAAAGAACTGCCAAACAGACAATAACATACCAATTAATGTAAAACTGAACTTCAGTAATGTTGTGCAGAGTTGAGGATTCAGCAGAAGAGGGTGAAGTCTTCTGCTGGTCCTTCCTTCCCATTCACTCATCCTCCCCTTCTCTGTAGTGGCTCAGAAAACTATTACAGGATAAAACAACCCTTGCCACTCACTCTGTGCTGACAAAAACCTTGATCAGGGTCTCTGAATGGCCACAAGAAAACTGGTGCTTTGAAAGTAACGCTTAAGACAGCAAAACTGCTTCACAATTGTGTGGTCACACTGAATGGTGAAATATCTTCTTCTAGAGAACATCTGCATGGATATTTAATGACTCGCTAGCCTGTAGATGTACTAGATGCCTATTCCAAAAAAAAAATATATAGGGGAAAGCCAGATGCTATATTTATATATAAGGACCCTATCAAACATAAACATTTCGTAACTACTGTAACATGACAAAGTGTTCACTAAATGTGGAAATGAAACCAGGAGTATTCTAAGTTGTAATTTCATCTACCTTTTTATACAAATTTTTCATAAGTGGCAGTATTGTTCATATGAGAAACTTACATCTTTAAAGTATCGCTGTAAAGTTGTAAGCCTCACATCATGCAGTGCTGCACAGGTATCCCAAGGGTATATTTGCTCCTCTTCAGTAGTTGGTAGTTTCTTTGGCTCAGTGCTATTGCGGCATTGTCCCAACACTGTATGAAGAAAAGTAGCAATAATGCAATGGATAACAATATGCTAAACAATTAAAAAACAATCAATCAGGAAATTCTGGTTTGTAACTACTATGTGCTTTGTTGACGTTGAATAGTAAAAAAAAATATTAAAGAAACTAAATGCTAAAAGTCGTGCTTTTGCATTTGCACATGAAGTGTGTATATATATATACACATACATACATGCACACATAAACACACATACGTACATATAGACACACCAATGGATATTTTACTTTATTTTATTTTTCTTTCAATATGTATTATATACTGCTGGGTTTGCAAAAGCTAACAGGAACTAGGAGGGGATGAAAGTGTTCGGTTTTCTCCCAAACATTTACAAATTTTCTCTGTACCCATAGACCTACACATGTGCCTCATGGAGGACCATCAACAAAAAAGGAGACTGTCTTTCCAGGCTCCATGAGATACAATGGTATCTGTATACACATACTAAGAGCTGCAGAAACACTGCTTGTCCAACAAGTCACACATTCATACCTGAGGATGCTTGTAACAGTACAACTAGCCCTGTAGGTCTGTCTTCAGTAGAAGGACCACTTTGTCCACAAATAACACAATCATATATTGCCTCAGAAACATGCTGTTCTGATGTGGCTACCTCCATGGCAGTATCAGCATCTGGTGATTCTAAAAAAAAAAAAAAAAGATAAGAAAATTTATATTAAACAGAGAGAAAGGTGCATCTGCATTGAGACATCAATGAAAAGGCTCTAAAATAATTTCTCTAGTTTACCTACAGCTGAAACTAACCTTGCTGCTTCAAACAGAAAGACACCTGCACATTGAAGTACAAGCTTTCCCATATTCAAAATAACTTCTAGTGGAATTAAATGTTTACTTCAAGTTCTGTATTAAACTTGATCTCTTTAAAACTTCTATAAAACAGATCTAACTTTTATTTCATTAGATATTGTATTGAAAACTCTGAACACAGAGATAAAGGGTAATGAGTATGAATCTCTACTAAAACCAGATTTGCTCATAACTGACTGACAACAATCAGAAGGAAAAAGTTAATCTGGAGACCTTAGAAATAATTTTAAGATGCTTAGATGAAAGTGAATGAAACATGCAACTGAAAATTAAAGTTGGGGTTTTTTAATGAAACTTGGACAATCTTTAAAAATTTGGGGTATATTAAGAGATCAATCTGCTGCTATGTAGCAAATGTTTAGTTTAACATTTACTGTATACAAGACGAATCAGAGATCTGGTTTTCTAATGGTCCATATTATCATGTCCTAGGTGCACAGACAGAAATGTTCAAGGCTATGGACCAGCTTCAAATTATTGAAGCAATTGCACTTAACGTAGCTTTGTTCACATGACAGTTGGTGGTGCTAGTTTCAGAGCAGGAGGTTAACCAAAATATTTTATGTTATGTTACAATCAAAGGTAAGAATTCTTTATTGGCTTGAAAGAAAAGCACTTTAGGACTAAATCATCCTCTCTTGACTGCTCAGGAACACATACAGTCAGCTGAGAATATAAGGGTGCTTGTTTCTTTCCTAGAAGATAATTTTTCCAAAGGAAAACACTTCCTCCCTACCTTCAACCATGCCCTTTATCCCCTTCATTAAGTAGGCCAAGGTGCTGGATAGAGAACCTAAAAACCTTAAGTGCAGCAACAGTCCTCACGCAGAACTGCTTCTAGGAGAGCTGCTCTCTTCTGAAAGTCCACCACAAGTTTGGCACAGGAGGCCTGTTGCTGCTATAAGGAAATGTTAGATGCCAGGCAGCATCCTCCTTTGCTATGAAAAGCTCCATGCAATGCTCTCACTCACAGGGCAGAATCAAAATTATACTGTCATAGTAACTATTGATTTCCCAGTCAGTTATTGAGGGTTATATGAAAATGAACTCCGATCTTCATTGACATACAGTTAATATTGCACACACATCTATCACCATCTAGTGGCAGTCAGATGTACCGTGAAAAAAAAGCAGAATGCATCAACTGCAAATGTGTTTTATTTTTTAAATCCAAACATCCAGAAAACCTAGGAACAACTGTAGCACAGAAAGGAGGAAGTAAGCACTAGAGCTATTTTTTATATTTAGCATCATCTCATAATTGTGTAAGGCACACTCACGTATACCTGTGTATCAGAAGCACACAACATGAGAATTACTAGAGTTCCAGTCGTTTTATTTTTCTTTTCCTAAAATATTGTTGATACAGTATAAAATATGCATCTGTTCAGTATTTTTCAAGAAGTGTAGAAAGAGAATATAGCGTGTCAATCTGATTTTGAACAACTCAATAGAAGGCCTCAAATCAGACAATATTTAATTTACAAAATTACACTCATTCATCATAAATTGCATATTTTAAACCTTAAGGAAAAAAATACAGATCTTCTTATTTAAAAGGTGTTTTTAACCAAATCAGTATATGCAGTCTATACTTCTACTGCCCATGTGCAACAGGCACATCAAAATCAGGCTAATTTCATTTTAGAACTCAATGATCAAATGCACGTTGCCCTCACAACTACTTAGATCTAGTGCTGGCTACTTTAGCAAACAATAAAATTTCAAGGGAGCTAAATTTCTAGCATCAAGGAAGACTTACTAATAAAATCATTTCCCCTAGAGCTACTGAAAGGAAACAAAGTCAACTTACACAAAATCCATGAGTAAGAGAAACAGGCAAGAATTTAAAATAATTAGGCAGACCAAAAAAATGCAACCAAACAAAAATCCCCAATTCTTTTTGAATGGACTACGATAAACCTCGATTACTTGCTTAAACTAGTTGTTAGCTTCTTTGGAAGATAAGACTTGGGCTATGGTTTGTTTGAAAGGGCAGTGTAATTCCTGGTGTGAAAATACATCAGTGGCAGTCCGGAAAAATGAAAGCAAGCTAAGCATATAGATATGATCTAAATATTGTCTTTCTTGCCTCCCTGAGTTTCACTTCTTTGAAGCTCCTGTGGAGGCAACAGACCCTGCCTCATTAGCTACATGATCTACCTACATTGCCAAGGACCAGGACATACACGTTTCACCTCAAAATACTATTGGAAAATGAGACAGACTCTTTCCTGCAAACTTCCTCCTAAAATATTTCATTAATGCATTGATACTTGTGCATATAAAGTAATTCCATGTCTCCATTCTACTTCACTTTCAGTTATATATTTCCTGTTTCACATGGAGAAAAATAAAACTACACTGCATTTACTGCAATAGTATTCATGTGGAAGCTTAAAATGCCCAGAAACTTGTAGCTCCACTTTTTTTTTTTTTTCTCCATTTCATATAAACAAAAGTACAGAATTGCTTTGTGTTTTCCACAGCAACTTGTGAAGCACTTATTTAAAATGATTGGAGCTGTAATGCTACTTATTAATTTGATGTAGAAAATACAGGGGGTTTACCAATTTTTAAAGCATGAGCTAACATTTCCTAGCTCCCCAGATGCCATTATAAAAAGACAGCTTCATAAAAATGATTATTTTATTAAATGTCCCTTTATATCAATGGAAAGTCTTTATAGCTAAACATTGATTGTAATATAACATAAAATTCCTTCTATTCTGGCTAAACCCCCCACCACATCACCACCAAGAACTGTCACATGAACAAAGCTGTATCAGTTGCAACCAAAAGATGTAGAATACTCTAAGTCTCCTTATTTTGCTTCGACTGGTGCACAAACCCCCAGTGTTTTTTGCTGACACTAGGAAGGAATTTCCATGAAAATAAGCACTTTTGTGTTATGTCCCAGAACAACGTTGCCTTATTGAGGGCCAAAGGAATCCTTTGCCAGCTACTTGTTAAGATAGTGATCTTGAGGCATATTACTCCACCTTTCAAACAGGTTTTGTAGGAGTTTGCAGCTTCAATTTGCATGAAAACCAGTGGCACCCAAAACAAGACATCTTGTCACTCTGCTGGAGATTCAGAAAGTAGGTAGTGGCAACAGGAGAAGAAGGAAGACCAAGGTGGCTTTAGCTGCTAGGCTGAAGGATGGCTTTACTAGCCAGGCAGCAGTCATACAAGACAGCAAGTGTATTTTACATCAAGCATTCTTTGGAATGCAACCAAGGATGCTTACAGTTTAAAACTCTGATTCTATGAAGGTTTAACCTAATTGATTTCACACAGACTTGTCCTGAGTGTGTGTGAAGGAGCAAATGGGAAACACAAGATAAGGCACATAGTACTGGTATCAATTCACCGAGTTTCTCTCATGAGCTTTGTCTAACATTGTAACACACCCCACCCCCTTACAGTGGGTTCTGTGGCTTTTCTTTGTCCTTTTGAATTATTTCAGAAATCTGGATAAATATGAACCTCAAAAACAAAGATAAAAACACTGAAGGAGGATGAAAACATTTAAATTGTGACAGAAATCCAGGGTAATGCCAAATACTATGATTCCCATGGGTTTTTAAAGAAGTTAATTATTTAGCTCTTTGTTTAATTTTGTACCAATAGGAGCAAGACACACAGTTACAAAATCCTAGCATTTCCTACCTCCTAGCAAATACCGTCAGTCTGCTAAAATCTAGCACACTGTTTTATCACAGAATGCATTGCTGCCTGAATTTTATCTCATTTCTACTCTCCAGAGCTAAAGATTCACTCCCGTTCTGTCCCCTATCCAGCAAAACCCCAGAACCGAAAGGGCTTTGTAAACACAGTAAATATAGTTTACAATCTCTGTTGACTGTAGTCAACATTTTTCCTGCTGTACACATTGTGTGTCAAAATGGCCCCTTGGCATCAAAGCAGCCATTAGTATGCTAATATTCTTTGCCCTGACCCAGCATATATATTCTCAAGAGATCAGTACCGAATTTATTTTTTTATCTGGGTTCAGAAGATTGAGTGTTAGGAAATGTATGTCACCTTGCATTAATACTCTGCACTTCTTTTTAACTCTAGGTAAAGAACATTCACTTGAAGGACAAAATGACGTCCTGTCAAGACTCACATCATAGGAAAGAAGCATGAACTGCATACTTATGACAAGGCATTAAAAAAAAAAAAACCACATTGGGTACTTCAGAGACAGCAAAACTACTGAAGCAATGCAAGATATTTTAATATTTAGAATGAATGAATTTACAAATTTTCACTAAGATACATTTGATTTGATTAAGTAGTTCAGCAGCTTGCCTGGAATGGATCATAAAATTTCATGTTTATAAAATTTAGGTAGACAAATCTTTACAAATATCACTGCAGTTTGTTAAAGGCTACTACTAACCTGGAGCAGAGGGATTAATTTTTGTTCTTATCAAGTCCTGCCTGAAAGGCAGTGAAGTTTCACAAATCTCTTGCATGGAGTTCCACATCACAACAGATAAACCATAGCCTCATGCTGAGGTAAGTGCCCTCAAAACAAAGATGTAAAAGCAGCTATTATGAGGAGACTAGAAGGCTTGTGGAGTTGACACTGTATGTAACTACATGCCAACACATTTTTGACTCACTAGACATTCTCCTCTGATACTTCAAGAGCTCTATCTGCTGCTCTTAGAACAATGCTTCTTGGTTTATTTTTCTACTTTTTACATTTGTCCTGCAGTCAGCTAAAGACAGCACAGTGGATTTTGTTTCATCCTAGTTCATTAACATAACTGTTTCTAAATTTCACTTAATTACTTCCAAGCAAGCTTGAATGGCAATGCAGTTCTGCAGATGTCACAGAATATAAATAGAAAGTAACAGGGGGCACAAACGGAAAGGGCTACGCTACATAATCTGAACTCTTCCTACAGTGATTACATGCAAGAAAATACCAACCTCTGCTTTCAGAACCTCAGATGAAATTTGTGAATTCCAGTTCAAATAAATAATTTTTGCTGGTAAAGTGAGACACAGTTAGTATTGAAAAATGAATATGTAATTGGGTAACCTGCTTTTAAGCCATGTTTCATTGCAGCATCCCAATAATCAAAGAAGAGGAATGCCTTAGCGGGTTAACGGAGGCTCTGTGCACTTTAATAAACACTTTGAAAACTATTAAGTTTGTGGCGTTTCAATAAATAATCTTTAAGATTTGGCTATTCTCCATTATTCCTATCATCTTCTAGACACATTTATTTTCAGAGTATTTCCAGTCTTCTACACTGTCAAGAGAAAGTTATGAAGCACTTAAATTTTTTAAGTGCTATACCCAAAAAACAATTATACCAGTTCTCACATGCTACCACTGAATCACATCCACCTTTCATCGAGAAGTTTTAAAAGATGATGATTATAATAATAATTTGCCCAAATGACAACTGAATCAGTTACAAAGCCAGGAAGCTGAGGCCTCACCATCCCTGCATTCTGACAGTGTTATTACAGTTGCCATAAACAATCAAAATTAAGAAATAAACCTACTGCTGAATTTCAACCTATAATAAAAGTAACAGGTAACAGAATTTGAATGTGTGAGAGGGGAATGCATTTTAACAGGCTGATTTTTAGTATGAAAGGATTTTTTTGTTTTCAAACATACTATTTCAGCACAGCTATGATACAAAGCAGGGTAAGACTATTAAATATTTACAGTAGCTTTAAACCGAATCACTCCAGAAAGACTAGTTTCAGAATTCTTACCATGTCTTGTATTTTAAAATTAGAGTAACAACAGTTTCTGCAACTTTTTCTGTAATTTGCTGTAACAAAGCCTGTATAGGGGCTGAATTCACAGCTGAGCAAATTACTTCAGTTAAAAAAGAATAGAGCAAACTAAAGAAAATATTCCCTGCAAATAATTAATCTAGGTTTTGAAATAAATTCTACACACGGAATACATACTTCCTTTCTGCGAGCTACTTTAATGTCAATCAGAACATAAAAGCTAGTTAATACTGGACTATAGTACAAATTCAGTGAATTTTCATTACAAACTCAGAAAACAGTATGGCAACCTAGAAGACACTGAAAAAAGTGAAAAAGCAAAGCAATTACTTGGCTAACACAATGCCTGGAATCCTATTAAGTCGTTGCCAAAAAACATGCTCACGTAGAACAACATTATGAAAATGTAGTCCATTAAGTTGATTCTATCTATTGCTGTGCATGACCTGGTATAATTGATAACACTACATTTTATGTTGCGATAGGCGAAGTTAATTGTTTAAACACTAAGAAACAAAAAAATTTAAGTGTTGCATGCCCAAGAACTTTTTAATGCCAAATTGTAAGCAAAAAGGCCCAGGTCTGCCTGCTACAGAAATTAAGGGTTCTTTTTAATATTTGACATATGTAGCTAAGTGTCCCCAGTTCTCCACATAAATAAATGCTGTGTAATTTATTGTTTTAACTAGTACGCTTTATCCACAAATCAAAGCAGTTACTTTAAACATAGCTTATAAAACTGAAGCATGGGAGTATTTCTGCATACATATGTGTATCTGCAAATACAGCTGGCAGGTAAATATCTATAGATACATACTATTTCATATATAGTAACATCAACTTTAAAGTTGCAATATCAGGAATTCAAAATACAGGTGGCTACAGAATCAAAGTTTCACAGTCGCCCTCTATTAGCCACGACAGTAAAAAGACCTAATTTTTAATAAGCAAACTGCATGTTTCTTCTTCCCTTCTTCCTTACTTCAGCAAATAGATTAAGAAGAAATAGCTAATCCTTCAATAAACATGACTTAAACTCATTTTTATCTGTAAACTGCGTTGTATCGCACACCCTCCAAACGTAACACCATACATAGTCATTAATTTGCTAAAGAAATTTCAATGATTGCTGTATCCAAGACCTTCAGAAGTATAAAGGAATAAATCTTCTTAGCAACCTATGAACTGAAGGGAATTGAACAATTTAAAAAAAACCCCACTTTTTCAGCAAAAACAGTTGTCAAAATATTTCTTACCAGTGCTTAAACTCAAACCAAACCTACATAGCAGATAATACTTGACTGAAAGAGAGGAAAAAAAAAATCCTGCTTTTTCCTATCTAAAGTGCTAATTTTCAATGAAGTAAACCAGATGATGAAAATATTTCCTATTCCTCAGTTAAACACAAGCAAACTAATCAAGATTACAAGCTTCTAAACATCAGAACCTGAAAGAATTTATCCTCAAGAAAAACAAGAGCTGATTCTGCTGCAAAGCCTGTACTTGAAATAGAATTTGTTATCACTTATAGCAACTGAGATGATCTAAAAAATATGCTTTCCTTAATTCTATACACAAATTTTAAATGCAAAACTTCTACCTTATTAAAATTTGAGGCTTTATGAAGAAATAATCTCGAATTTTATTATTAGATCAAAGAAAACGCAATTTTTAAAAGACAAAATAACTTTGGGACATTTTATATTAAAAGGTAGATAGTTTAAAACACATCACATAATACACAGTGGATGAAATTATTACATTTAAGAAAAAAATGAATAAAACTATGACCTACAGATAATGTGTTCTCTTTTAAATATTTTCAAGATCATTTAATCTATTCCTTAGCAATTACGTATTCAGTATTATCTGTCCTAGAAAACACAACTTTAAGCCTCTTAAGAAGTATTTAGCGAACAAGTGGATAGAGTAGCACAATCTGAGGGGAGGGGTTTTTGTTTGGGGTTTGAGTGTTTTGTTGTGGGGGTTTTTTAAACTTTTTGAGTAAAACCCTTAATACTAACATGGAAATAAAATAATTAGAAAGAGGCAAGCGGTTAATCACACAAAAAAAACCTTACCAACATCCATGGCAGTTTCCATGAAACTCTTCTGCCTTGAGGCAAATTCAGCCAACAATTTCTGTTGCCGTTCTCTGGCCTTCTGTCGTCTGAGTGAAAGAAGGAGGCGGGGGGGGGAGCGGTTAGAAGAGGAAAAAAAAAAAATTAGTTTACAGTGTCAGGCCAACTACAGTTGCCAACTTCAACAATATAATTCAAAACTCAAGTTTTCTCTAAATCAAAGATTAATTTGCAAGCCAAAAAAAGGAATCTCTTGCCTTAAAATCTGAGGTTTTTAAGAAATAGAGTTATTTTCTTTTGAGTCTGGAAGACAAGAATAAGATATCGACCTAAAAAAACCTTCAGAAAACCAAAGGATCTTTTAACAGATTAGGACATAGCATCATAAGAACAATGTAAGACCTTGTTCTTGAAAGTTATTTTTCTGTTACATAAGGGAAGAATAACAGAGTGAAATCTCAACCATTGTACAAAAATAAGCACCCTTGTGAACAACCAACATTTACAAGATAATAATATATAAATTAATAATAACAATAATATTTTAAAAAGCCTACCTTGCTCACTTTTTATATCGACGCCAACAGAAATAACTACGAATAATTTCTTTTCTAGCTAAGGCTCTTCATACTGGTTCCTTCTCCACCACCTCCACCCAAGATACAGGTCAGTAATCAGTGACCAGCTTTTATACCTGGACTTAAAGAAGTTTGAGATTGCTTCTAGATTGAAGGCCCCTATCTCCCTGAAGCTAAGCTGACACCACTGACCTCATTGTTTAACACAGCTCTGGATTTACAAATGGAAGACATTAGAGACTCACTCTTGTCTGTCCTTCTATTCAAACTGTATTAGTGACATGTACAAGGCTATATGACCAGCTTTTCTATAACTGCTATATATACATATTGCCGCAGGTAGAGGAATATTGATGGATGTAAAAAGACAATGAAAATAGGCATTGATTTTCCTCTTCCTGAGGTACCAAGAAAGGATCTTTACTTTGACAAGAGTTTACAAATAGAGGAAATGGGAGAGTGCAAGTGGGAAAACCAAACAGAATACACCACAGCTGCTCACCACATGGCACATGCAAAGGCCTGTGTGCCCCATGGCTGGGGCTTTATGCAGCACTTCCCCAGTGCAGCTAGGGAACCTCTGTCATAGCTACAAACTCTGTGCATCAGCATTTACAATTCCCCCCCCCCCCCTCAAAGATGATTCAGATAACTAACAAAGGATTTAAAAACACCACTTGGCATCTGATATGCTGATGGGTGAGTCCTCTTTAGTCTCCAGCACTGTCTGATTATCACCATCCTGGCACAGGAATAGACATGCTCAGACCTGAAGCAGCTAATATACTGTGACCTGTTATCATGAGGTGGCCTGTTTATAAGTCAAAGCTTCTAACTTGTTTTCATAAAGGCACCTTAAAAACCCAAACATCTCTGCCCATTTATTTGTCATGTTGTACAGCCACAATTTCTCAAAATAGCTTCTATCTACAACAATCCTAAGATTCATTATTCTGAGGATCATACCAGAGCATTCATTAAACCTGTTTTTATTTATTTCTCCCTGGGAATTTCTCAATATACTCCCTGACTAAAAAGCAGAGTGACTGTAAATAGAGGCCTTTAATAAGAAGACATAAACAAACTCTGACAGATTCAGTACAGCTCAGTAATTTTCCATGATGGCCCACGGGAGTATGACACTGCAACTGAAAAAAATACTGCAAGCAGCTCAAGCTCTCTTCTAGTTCTGTATTTCAGTTTCTATGGCAACAACCCATTGCCTGAGTGATGCCAAGTTTGTCATTATATGTTGAAGTAACCAAAAGGGGCGATCATGGAACACTCACAGTCTGCTCAGTAATCATTA